AATTACACTAGGGTTGAAGGCTGTCGAAGGAGTCACCTTGCCCGGGTTAATTGGTCGCGCTACCTGTCACAGTTGGCCCAAGGTTAGGGTTAAGGCCGGCAAAGTGGCATCATAGTTTTGCAAGCTCATTATAAAATCCGCCAGATTGTTAGCTGAGCAAAGTGGCATCATAGTTTTGCAAGCTCATTATAAATTCCGCCAGATTGTTAGCTGAACAAAGTGACGTCTTGGATTTTGCATACTAATTAATTTCGACACCTAAGTTTGCATACTAATAACTTCCGCCGCCAGATGGGGGTCTTTTACTACTGGCATCAGTGTTTGATAACATGAATGTGGTATGGACAAGTTTCCCCTCGGTGCGTGCGTGTCGATTACCCCTATATAGCTATTTCAATTAAGGTTGTCCCCGAGCAAAGCGGAAAAGTCGAATAGGAGTGCGAAAGGCTTGCTGGGAATCACTAACAAATTCATTAATTTTTTAGCAATTCTCAGCAAGCCTCAATTCCGCGCTCGTATTCGACTTTTCCGCTTTGCTCGAGGACAACCTTAATTGGAATAGCTGTATATTACCATATAAAGCCGTTTCACTGAGGAAAATATACACTGAAGATTTATTAATAACCGCATGTTTCTTCCGGTGTTTTCTGATTGGTTGATTTCATGATACGATTTTAGGGACAGATATTCAAAATTGCATGCGCATGGCGTCAATGCTCGCAGGCTATATATCAGAAATATTGAAAGTTTCCGATCTGTTTTGTTGAATCACGTTAAAAGTTGATATCTTATATTTTTAAATGGCATGAGAGGCCCTTGCAAGTATTTTTACAATGCCTTTATGTTTCTCGATAATGGCCAATGCCTCGCGTTCGCATTGTCTCCCTAACGACCAGTATAATTCACACTTTTCTAGTGCGTTTTTCTCGGCTTCTGATAGATGTGAATGAGTAGATATCGATGATATGAATATGATATGAGTTTTTATACCCTCATATGCATGAACATTCGTAACTCGTCCACTCGTTCACATTCATCAGAAAAAGAAAATCCCACCTAAAATCGCAGCAACAATTACAAATGTGCCTTAAAGGCCCGCACAGACCGGACGCGATTCGGCAACGCGACGCGAATTTTCAGTTTTCAAAAGAGAATAAACGGATAAATATTTTTCGAGATATGCAGGCCAAATAGCTAAAATTGCTTAAGTGGTTCCGAATATTTGAAAAACATAGAAACTTAGTAAAGATAAATGTCATTGAAAATTGAAAATTCGCGGCGCAATGACGAATCGCGTCCAGTCTGTATGGACCTTAACTCATAAGTTAAATACTCTTAAAAGTCGGAACATAAGATACCACTTTATTTTCTCTGCAAGCACTTTAACTATTATTGTATTATTATATTAATTTAGTTGAAACTTAACTAAGCACCTTAAGTAAAAGCCTTATGGTTTCTAAAAGTTTGCTAGCCCTATACTATTGTAAATATTTCCTATTTTATAATTGTTAATGAAATTTGGGCGAATTAGTTATTTGAAATAGAAATAAATCATTTTCCCGTTGAATTTTCTGTTGTGAAAAGGTATAACTTGTCTAATATTAAATACTACTGTTGGTGTCCAACCGCGAAGAGTGACGAAGCACTTTAATTTATTAAATACGTTTAAACGGCGTTACTTAATTTGTAGTTAAATAGTTGTTAAACGAAAATACGCGATCATGGATACCTAACTTTCGCACTAAATGCATGTAGTTAACTTAAACTTCCTTTTAAAACAACCGGTCCCAGGTGTTTTCAGTGTATATATGCAAGAATAAAACGGGCCACTTAAACAAACCCTTGTTTTGACGACGTTTCATGTTTGGGTAAATAGGTTTTCAGTGACACGCACCATTTCTTTTCCTCATGTGAGTCATGTCTACATAGCGTTAAAGTCATCTTATCTTTACTAAAGGTTCTATTAATTATTATATCAACTATTCACATGTATTATATTAGCAGACATGCATATAGTCATAAGACATAGATGTGTAACTACGTATAAGCACCTGTAACATAGAAAGAACTGGCTAAAACGCCTCGCAGCAGGAAGTTGGAATATTATCAATTATTAACATTAACATTGCCAAATTAGGTAATGAATGGAGAAAAATATCCAACTCAAAGTTTCTGTTTTGCTTCGATTTGACATAGTAACACAGCACACGCAAGCTGAGCTTCGGATTTCTAGTGTATCTTTTTCAATTTAATATACACTGCTAAGAAAACTACATCAATAGCAAACAATTGGCAAAATAATTGAGTTGATTAAACATGTGAAATTCACAAGTTGCTGTATTCCATAAACGTATATTTTAGCCATTACCTATATAAGTAGTCATGTAAATGTTTTAAAAAGTCTAAATTCATTATTTGAGTTTAGATTCTAAACTCGAGCAATGTTTAACGACACTATTTGCATGTATGCATGCCGGATTCGCCGGGACACGAAAAGTTCGATGTTCCAACCAGTCAGTTGGACTTGGCCTTCGATAATTCTCGGATTTTTTGTCCGGAGCAGGAGAAAAGCTTGTCCGTCAATTTTGTAACAAATCTAAAGGATAGTGAAAGATTTTTTCGAGATCAGGCATTTATTTTTTGAAATTCTGTTTTAATCTCGGAACAAATTGTATAAAGAGATCATTTTGAATTTCATTGTTTATCTTGCCATCTTTAATTTATCCACATGCATTATATGCATATCGTTATCTCTTTGAAATCGCAAAACGTTTCTATTTTCTTTCGGTTCGAGCATTTCTTTCCGACTTTTTTGTCCACCCTGCAAGTCATATCAACGCTACCTGCTTACTGGAGTTCGTTGCATTTGCTGTCTATAGCTAGCTATACTTTCTGTGTAAATCAAGCACTCAACTTACATACGACAACGTAGGCGGGTTGTGTACGTGCTTGATTTACACAGTACAACTCAAGTTGTAGGCAGGTTGCATGCGACGGTTTTAGGCAAAAGTTATGTAGTGCAAATCTGTCTTTATTAAAATATATTTATAACCGGTATGACATATGTAGGCTAGTGAAAACGCAACAGCTAGTAATTAAAATTATTTATCTAAAACATAAAATTCATCGGACATAAAGAGCCCAAAAATTAAGAAGATTTAGTAATATCTTCCAAAATGAATAATATACAAATGTGAAGTACATTATGGCATACCTTGTCGATCACTGAATTTAAACGAATATTTGGCAAACCAAGATATTAAAACGTTGTTGTCTTCCTCTGCTTAAGTGATGCGCATTTGAAAAGCGATGTCCTTCGTATCCAATTTTGCAAGTTAATTACTGAAGTCCAGTATAGGATGTTTTTCTTGCACCTGTCGCTTTTTATCGCGCTTCAATCGAGGTGTGTAGTTTTTCAGACGATGTAGGCCCTACTGAGATAAGTTCGTACGACAAGAACTGCAGTAGGCAGTACCGCAGGAGAAATAGAGTATAGAGCATTTTATGAAAAATTATTTCTATTAAAACAATGGCAATACATTGCGTACTGTATTTATGTTCATTATTATTAATTGGGCAATTTCAGTCGGTGCCTGGTGAAATTCGACCTGCAAAAAGCCTTCACAGCGGGCTGCTCCATTGCCTATTTCAAACACCCTGAGAATACGCACTTAATATCTGAAAGTGTTCTATTGTTGTCATGGTAGTTGTCAATAATATATTAATTATGTATTTTTGTCAGCCACTTTGTTCTATTTTTATAAGTTAAAACTTTACGATTGCAGAAATTATTGTTATAAGTTAAAACTTTATGATTGCAAAAAAAGCACACCACACCACTAGTATAACTATATAATAGAAAGTTCGTCTACTGAGTGTCTGAGTCCCTCCTCATGCAATCATATTTCGTTGCCAGGGAATGCGTCCTTTAATTTTAACATTAGAGATCTTAAGATATGCTAAATCTAGTACGCGGACGTGTCAAATAACAGTTGCTTGTATTGCTCGTTGGGATTTGTTACCGATTTGGATTATTTTCACCTGTATCTGAAGAAGTTCTTTCCGGCGTGTTGCTGACACTGTCAATTTCGCGTATGTGTCTTTCGTCACGTCCGCGCACTAGACTTTTACCATATCTCAAACTCTCTTTAGCTTGTTAACGCGAGATCGGGGATAAATTCATTAACGTATGAAAATTTGCCCATGAATGTGCTAGTCATTCTCGAATTCGTCACGTTACATGCGTCATGTGTCAACACTGAGGTAAAGCCCAAATTTCAGTACAGCATATACGGTTTCCAATTCATCCCGCCCGGTACAGTATGACCATAACCCTCATGTGAAAACAAATTACAAATATCTAACAATCTCTAACAATTGCTATACGGTGTCATCGCAGATACTGTCCCCCTCCCCCACAAAAAAACCCAACAAAATCTGCGCTACTGGACACTATCAGCTGGCGATCGAATTGTGTCTTCCTGTATAGTATCCGCTAATGTGTGCCCCTGACACTAATGTACCCCATTGAGTATTCTGTCTCCCTCGCAAACTATGCGATTACGTATACGTTCGTAGAATGAGACGTTTTACAAGAGTGCATGTGTGGACAACGCTTTTTAAAGTTATTCTTGACGTTTTTTAACTTGGGAACTTGCAATGTATGTAATATAGGCCAATTCTGTTTACAACAGAGCCATTTTCCCCGAGCCGACGGCGCGAAGCGCCGTGCGAGGGCACTAATTCCCCCCGGCTATTTACACCCGGGTAAACGAAAGCATTAGCGAAGTCTAAAGTTCATCAAATATCGCGGGCGTGGGTCACCAACCGTGGGTGGTGATCCTCACTGATCTCAAAAATATAGCGGACTGTCATGAATAGCAAACACTGTGATTGGTCCAATTTAAAGTTTGCATTATAACGACTGCATGACGAGAGCGAAATAGAAAACATTTCTTTATTTGATGATTGATAAATTTCTTGCAAATATATTTCATTTTTGCTCGCATTTTTGCAAGATTTTGTAAATTTCAAGAAAGAAATGGCGAAAGAATCGGCTAAAAGAAGGGAGCCGACGTTAACGAAGGTAAGGGAGCGGTCATTATTTATGGTGGGGGGTGGCACCGAAGAGAAATGTTTTTCATGGGAAAAATTTTGCTGACCCAACCATTAAAAAGTCAAAAATTTGATTACCCAACCTCAAATATCAATTAAAAAATAATTACCCACCCCTGGCCAAGAACTTTACAAAAGGATACCATTCAGTTGTCACCATGTCCTTTACCACTTCTGTGACACGAGTTTGATAACAAATTGTGAAATGTTCTGCCGTCTAAAGTCTCATATTGTCTGCACATGTAGTTTCTAAATTGGAGACACCATTTGTTTCCCAACAAATCGGAAAATGACAGATAGTGACTCTGATTGATTCACATATTGTATTTACATATGCTTTTTAGTCTCCAATATTTCAGTGAGTTATGCTTTGGAAATGACAATAATTTTTTATTACCCAACCCTTGAGTTGTTTTGTTCTTCATTTACCCAACCTTTTACTCACTCCAAATTTTGTTTACCCAACCCTTTTCTCTTCGGTGCCACCCCCTGCCATAAATAATGACCGGTCCCTAAGTTTGCTTTCAATATTGATTTTATAATTGCTTTAATTTAAAACCCGACGCTTTTGCGTATATGAAGCAACTAAACAAGACAGCATATCGGGCCCCATTTCAGTGTATCTTTAATATTGATTCCCTTTTTTATTATATTGATTTTTTTAAATAAAAAAGGAAAGCGAAGTTATTTGCATGCTAGAATTTGAAATCGTCAGTTTATTGCAAACTCAAAGTTTATCGATAAAGCCATTTAATTAAAGAATAAAGGCAGTTTAGTTTTATAAAGAACACTTTAAAACGTTTTGCGAAGCGTTTGTGGTTGAATTTTACCTTAAATTGAAGCTTATATTACGTATAATATCATACCTAATATATATATATATGTTGGGAAATTGATAATTTTGTAATTAAAAGTGATAGTTTTAAGCGATTTTTCATTTGTAAGAATATTCTTAAAAAATTATCGTGTTACCATGGCAACTACTTTAGAGGCAACTACTTTCGATACTTCATGTTCGGAAAATACAATGGTTTTGTCAGCAAGGCGAGGGTTTCTGCATGCATGTATTTTCTAGTAATGTTTTCAATCCTCTTCATTATTGCATTCATTCTACGTTGCAACACAGAAAATTCGTGAAAATTCTGTGAAAATTCGTGGCATTGCTTGTCGACCCCCAGCAGCGCTACCCAGATCTGAGTAGTTGATTCTGATTGGTCATAGTTAAAATTAAGCGCATTGGATTCTTATTGGCTGAGTTCAAACGTGAGCAAAGTTCTGACTTTTCTGGCTAACGTAAACAAATCGCATCACGCTCAGGAATTGCCGTTATTTTCAACTCGTTGTTGCCTTTCATTTGTTCAATTAGATATCATATTAATTTGCCGTACATTTAATAGAAACATTCTTGCATCGAAAATTTAGTACTTTGACGAAGCACAGAGCAGAGTAAAATTAACAATGAACATCAATTGTCAAAAAAAAATATTTCGATTTTGAAAATCAAAGTCCAACGGTCTTTGATATTTATATCAAGCCGGCAATCAGTATCTATTAGGGACGGACCATTTGATTTTTCATGGGGGGGGGGGGCGCAAATCCGAAAAAAAATATCGAGCATGTCTCGAATGGAAGAAAAAAAAATCGAACATCACTAACACCCTCAAAAAAAAATATCGAGCACAAAAAAATTCTAAATTAGCAATACTCTATATTGAAAGAAAAATTCAGTTTCCCTTAGTTTTTTTCTGTTCAGTGTTTCGGTTCTGCCTTGGTTAACAGTACCGGAAGTATACATGCAAAATACAAACCGATACAAACCAGTTCTGACAACTTTGACTTCAATAATTCAATTATCCACAAATTACCTTAATGATATCCCCCAAAACCCCAATCTTAACACTGAAAGTCCCACACTTCTGTAAATTCGACATCGATTAATGAGGGGGGAGGGGTATGATTCACGTTTCACAACAAAAAAATACCGTTTCACAATTCGCGTGCCATAAAAAAGCAATTTCACATTTCACGGATAACGAGACTCTAATAAAAATGATATGATAATAATAGCTTTAAGATTATGTTTAATGGATGGTACAGTACAACGCTTTAAGTTCTCTTCTCTGCCTGGCAGTTAAAAACTACATACAAGTTTGAGTGATGAGTACGTCCGACGAATCTCCGAAAGGCCTCCGAAGTTTCTACTCTTGTGCAATCGAGTGAGATCGATCATATAAATTATTATCGCGTATTATGTCCATTATCACTATTATAAAATAGATCGGAATAAACAAATCAAAATCACAGTTCACGAAACAGACATCCTTAATTCCAATTTCACAGAGCATTTTTTGATCGACAATCACGCCTCACGGCTGTAGAACAAATCACAGATCATGACAGTAAAATCAAGCATTTCACAGGATCAAATATTGACCATTCACGCAGTGGCGTAGACAAGGGGGGGGGCTCAGCCCCCCCCCTCAATAGGCTGATGGACTGCCCTTGTAAAAAAGATGAAATCCGGGTAGAAATTAGGGGGGGGACGATGACTACCCATGTGACTACCAATCTCATCTGTTCACCAAATTGTCTATAAAAGTTCTAATCTTTCCTAAATCTAACTACAGAAAATAATGCCTATGGTGGTTATTGGTTAAAATGCGTTTTAAAACTTCGATTTAACTATTCACACGCGACCAAGTAAGCTTCGTTGAGTCAAATTAAGGATCCACATTATTGAGAAATCATTAAAAATCAGGTCTTTCCTGCAGTAAATAATCTTCAGAATTATGCAAAATCTCTCCCCAGAAACACGGGAAATCGCCATTGAAGGACTCCAGATTTCAAAATTTTCCCGGGGGAGAATGCCCCCGGACCCCCTAAAAAGGCTTACGCCTTCGGCGTTCGATATATGCCCTCCCAAAAATTATAGTCTGGCTACGCCACTGCATTCACGGGTCACAAAAATACCCTTTCCCACCCGGCTCATTAATATCGCTCTCTGATTCTCAATAAAAATCGCAGTTTATAATACGTATTGGGAACACTGATACGATTGGGAACCGTGAGAATTTGTATACAGATGCCATTACGCCAATGCAAAATGGGTTACACACTTTAATACACTTGATCTAATTTTGATTGGGACTATGGTCTACATTTCGTAGACCATAGCCCCGTGTAAAATGGGCCAAGTATAAAATTGGCCAAGTATAAAATGGGCTGTGATAGTTATATCATAGAATAGGAAGGTATACCAAAGGTCTCACTCAAGCAAGTATTTGTCCGCGTTTTTATAAGCGATTCGTCCGATCATCAATCACGCCATCCTGGCTAGTACAACAGGCACTTTGTACCTATCAAAACCTGATAAAAACTTCCGGCTGTACTAGCCAGGATGGCGTGAGCGAGTTAAAATTTTCGTGGGTTACACTTCTGCTATACTTTCCGATTTTGTGGTTATATGCTGTATATTCAAATACATTCTCAACCGGAATATAACCACACGTGGTTATTATTGTATTAACGCTATAGTAAAAATTTAAAAAAATATCGTGCACGCGGCAAGATTCGATAAAAAAAAATCGTGCGGAGTCGGTGAGGTCCAAAAAAAAATCGAGCACTCTCAAAAATGCGCCCCCCCCCATGAAAAATCAAATGGTCCGTCCCTTAAGTTCATCAGTCGCGTGACCAATCAGAACCAACCAATTCAACCCAAATCTGGGTAGCGCTGCTGATGATCGAAGTGCCACGAATTTTCACAGACTCTATTATAGCAAACTGTTATCGAAAACAAAGTCAAATGAATGTCTTGGAAGTTTAATTAAAGCACTGATATACCGGCTGTAGAATCTATAAACGCTTCAAAAGACTAAAAATGTCTGTGCGTATATTCATAGTTTATATGCGTATACAGCTATTTCAATTAAGGTTGTCCACGACCAAAGCGGAAAAGTCGAATGCGAGCGGAAAAGTCGAATGCGAGCGCAAAAGGGTACTGGGAATCGCTTTGAAAATTCATGAATTTGTTAGCGATTCCCAGCAGCCTTTCGCGCTCGTATTATTTCAACCTTAATTGAAATAGCTGTATTCATGGTTTATACGAATTTGTGATCACAATCAGCTCTCCGTGATTATCATAATTGTGCCAAAGATGTAAATGGTTTTATTGACTAAAAACAGTTAATATCGTATCCTGATTCGTGTCGCTGCTCTGCAGACTGATTATTATTATTATTTTATTATTATTATAACATCTTTATACACGGTAACTAATCAACCATATTACCTATCAGTATTTACAAAAATTATAAAGGTTGTTTTTCATTAGGCCGTGTTATTAAATACAGAACTCGAAATACTATTATATAAACTATTATAAAAATATTAAAAGATACTAAGAAATGTTTGGGTCGAAGTGATACGTTAAATATATATATTACAAATGAATTAAGTAGATATAAAATTTTTACTATTATAGTTCCAGTCTTTAGCAGCAGCATATCCGAATGTCCTTTTCATTGAATTTGTTTTAGGCTTCGACAACAACAGCATCTTGTTATTACTTCTTAAATTATATTTATCAGAATTTGAGATTTTAAACATAGTTGAAACGTTTTCAGGACATTGGTTTGAAAGGGCTTTGGCCACATATGCTAATTTTTGCTCCTTTCTTCTCTCTTCGAGTGTTCTCCAATTTAATTTCTTTAAAATATCCGTGGAGCGAATTTCATAGGTATCACCTGTGATTACTCTAGCTGCACGGTTTTGTAGTCTCTGTAGCTTTTTTTTGAACCTTCGCCACAGTTTCCCCAAACCATGGAGCAGTAATCAAAACTCGGTTGCACTAAAGCCTGATAAATATATTTAAGAGTTTCAAGAGAGACAAATGGCTTTGCACGGCGCAGCATACCAATGCCCTTCGATACCTTTTTACTGATGTTGTCGATTTGCTCATTCCAACATAGATTGTCATCAATCAGTACACCTAAAGTCTTTTTGGAATAAACCTGTTTCAATAGTTTCCCCCCGCATGATACGCTAGTATTTTTTTGAATTTTAGCTAATCTTTGACGGGTTCCAATGATCATGTATTCTGTTTTTTCAATGTTTAAAGTTAGTTTGTTTGAAAGAAGCCACTGGTGAATATTTTTCATTTCAGAACTTATTTTGGATTCCATAGATAGATAATTTACTTAGAAGAATTCCGTGATCAACCGTATCAAATGCTTTACATAAGTCCAGAAAAAGTACTCCGTTTATCATCCCAGCATCCATGTTAAGTAACCATGAATCCGTATTTGCTAAAAGGGCTGATGCGGTGGAATAATTTTTACGGAAACCAGACTGACACGAACTCAGAATATTATTTTCAGTTAAAAAGGAATTGAGCTGTGTACAGACAAGTTTCTCAAATAACTTGGCAATAATTGAAATAATGGAAATCGGTCTATAATTGCCTCGATTTTTTTTGTCACCAGATTTATGAATTGGAGAAATTCTTGCAGTCTTAAGATCATCAGGGAAAATTCCATGTTTGAGTGAAGTATTAAAAATAAATACTAAAAAAGGCGCCACGGCATCACTTGCATCTTTCAAAAGTTTGGCTGGGATATTATCATGTCCAGTTGACTTAGACGTCTTTAATTAATGCCCGTTAGCCGAACAAATAAATAGCCAGGAAAACTTGAAGCACGCTTTCGATCAGTTTCTTGCAACGTCTCAATTGTTCACTGTTTCGTACAATCGATATCGTACGTCCGGCCCGCTCTGAAACGCAACTGCCCACTCTGAAATGCAACTGCCCTCTCTGATTTTCGCGGCAAAAACCGAGGAATGAAACAATTTTTAAACGAAAAATCTGTCCAAAACGTTTGAAAAACGTAGCCTAACGATAGTCAGAATAGGAAAATAGCACGATGTACACCAGAATTGGCAATATTTTGATAGAAATGCGACTGAAAGTTATTTGACATGTATAAACTTACGCTGACAAAACAGTATATTTTTTTAAATGCTCATGTATTCGGCCCATTGAGCTGTATAATAACATTAATACTAGGGATCCAAGGATAGTGTGAAGTTTCGAATTGAAAAAGACACTGCAAGAACTATATAGGGTCGCCGACAACCTAGAAAAGCTGATGGTTTACACTACGAAATAAACAGTTACCAAAGGCATTTCATCTCATTATTTATTGCTTTTAATACGCTCGGCATACGAGTAGCGTGACGTTTGAAACAAGCCTAACACATCAGAAACGTGCCTTGTGAAACTGATGCAATTTATCTATTTATTGTGATGCTACACGCGACAATTCGAAATTTAAATTGTTTCACCAACAACCAAATTTTGCATATTCTGAATTTTCATTTGCAGCTGTCGCTAAAAGCATCCCCACTAGGCTACTGCTATATGCTAAATTTATCTAAAACTATAATTGAAATAGCTGTATAAGATATGTTATGAATAATAAGCACTACGTCGTTACATCATTAAAAGGACGCATTTTATCCTCATCCGTTCCGTATTTTGTCCGCATATTCGTTCCGTGGATCCGCTCCATCCGCTTCCGCATTTTAACCTAATTGTGACATGTTTCACAATAACAAGTCTCATTGACCTTTGACTTTTCCCAGTGTCACGTCTATTTTCAGCTTTTCGCATGTGTTGAATATATTAATGTCACTTTAGATTTCAATAGTTGCACAGTTAAGCAGTGTTTACTGTAAATTAAAGCAGGTTTGACAAGCTTTGATACAGTTCTGTGTACAGAATACTACAGATTGATTCTCGTAAGATCTGGTAGAGTTATCGTCGCACTGAACACAAGTTTGCACCGTTGACAACCGCGTTGTGCTTGACAGTAAACAAAGAGAAGGTCCGTGACAGTACACGTTGGCTACATGTACCTCCTTGCTTTTTTCTTCTATTGCATAAAGCTTGTTGGCGATAACACGTTGGCGATAACACATTGGCTATCTCCTCGTCTTTCTTATTTAAATAAGGAGCTCTGACTCAACTGATTTCTTTAGTCTCGCAAGTTATTTTCCTCGTATAAAACGCCGTACAAACGTTTACCCGTTTAATAATTGTTTTTATAATATAGCATTTGTAAATTCTGAACGCTGATTGGCTAAGAGCCGTGTTGATATAACTCCATGTCAACACGGGAAATTTTCCGCCGCTTGTAACACGGAAATTGTTCTTATTCTTCGGGCTTTTGACATTGCTATATTATAAAACAAATATAAAACATTTTTTCCGTATTGATATATAGTTATATCAACACTCGTGGAAGTTGGGAAAACTCGAAATTGTGTGAAAACAACACAATTTCTCGTTTTCCCAATTTCCACTCGTGTTGATATAACTGTTTTTCAACACGGAAAATGTTTTATATTTGTTAAATGCTTTATTGATCTGGTACAGATCTGATGCAATTTTTCGCTTTTTGTACTGAGTGTAGCCATCTATTCTGTGATGTAGCACCTTATACAGTCAATGACAATGTATAATGAATACACGGTCTAAATAATATCGATGGGCACTTACATATTAATTGATGCCGGTAATGCATAACATAAATTTATATATTGTATTATTGCGTAGAATCTCAAAGATTTTCTCAATATTCATGTCTGAAATGTTTATATACTTGAAAACAACACTGTCTCGCTTCTGCCTACGTACTGTACATCTGTATAATGAGTATGCCGTGAAAATAATATCGGCACTCAATTGAATTCCTAGAATCTCAAAGATTTTCGACTCAATATAACAATATTTACGTCTGAAATGTTTATACACTTGACTGCACTGTCTAGGCGGTCTAACTCCTTCCTAGCTCTGTATAACGAATATACCGTCTAAATATTATCGGAACTTAATTGAACGCCCGTAATGCATAAGATCAATTTATATTTTGCGTAGATTTTCAAAGATTTACTCAATATTCACGTCTGAAATGTTTATACATCTGAAAACTACACTGTCACTCCTTCCTTAACCTGAAGTTCAGGCCCTATCGTTACTCCTTCCCAGCATATCGTCACGCCATCGTGATCTACGGCTTGATAGCGCATGCGCATTTGCGCTACTAAAGAAAAAATCGGGTGTTCCGGGGTAAAGATCCTTTACACAACATGAGAAGCGAATGTTATAAAATTTACAAAAAATTACAATAACGAAAGCGATTCCTCGATATTTTTGTGAACTTGGCAAAAGGATAACAGAATATGTAAATAAGTTAACTGAAATTGCCTAAATAACCTTCAAAGCACTGACTAAGTACGATGAATCACTACGAACATATATCGTAGTATACACCCCCCGGAAAGTTTACTGTATGACTGAATGAATGACTGACTGATTCGTGTGAATTTCCGCCCAGTCATCACAATACTGTGAAGTTTCGAAGAAACTTCACACTAATAATAGTAAAAACTAATATAATATAGCTCAGTGATTCGGCCACTTAAAAGCGAAAAAATGTTTTCCCATTTAAAAAAGGTTTAACTGCACCCATTTGTGTCATGCATTTTTCACTGATATAAATATTGTACTAGAAAATACATGTGCATGCAGCAACCCCTCGCCTTTCCTAAGAGCTGAAGTATAAAATCTATTAAAACAATAGATCTACTGTACATGCAATTGAACTTATTGACAGAACTACTAACGCAATTGATCAAGGGAAATACACCATAGGTATTTATTTCCTTGATCTTTCAAAGGCGTTTGATACGATACAGTTAATCAGTGGCGGAAATCTCGGTGGCGGAAATCTCGGTGGGGCGGGGCTGGGGCGAGCGCCCC